TATTGTACATGGATGTCTATTTACACAGGGAGTATGGGCCCATGACCAAACCTCTATGTGATCTATAAAGAACTGAAGTCCTATCAAAGTGCACAACAGCAAAGACTCATCACTGAACATCTGGACACCATTCCTCTTCAACGCCTGCAGATGTTTTCAGGTAAGGTAAGTTTAGCCCTTGCCAAAAAGTAGTATACTTCAAGTTTATTTGAGTAAGTATACTTAAGTGCTGAAATATATTTAGACTTTTTCTAAATATATTTCTAAGTATAAGTCAAGTATACTTAAATGTCATTTTAAGTATATTTCTGAGAAGTACATAAAGCCCATTTCTGAGAAGTACATAAAAAGTAGACTAAAAGTATACTTTCCTATTTTTAGTTTAAAAGAAGTATACTAATAGCACACTTGAATAAACTTCATTTTCGTAAGGGAGGATACAGTAGACTCCCTCTGTATCGAAAAATTATCACAAAAACAGATCAAGGCTTGGTGGCTAACGCACATATTCAAGCTAAATGAAACGAATCAACAGCTGGTATAACACATCTGGCCTTTGCCTTATATTGTTAAGGGGAGTTTAAATACATTCCCACTTCATTTAAAGTATGTACTTTTAAATAGGCCTAATAGAAATGAATAAGATGAATACATGCAGGGCCAAAGTGGGAGAAGTTCTGGTCATTTGTCATTTGCGTTGTTTTAAGGTACGATACTAAATGATTTAGCCCCTAAAACACTTAAAAATAGCTACTTTATTGGCATCGATGGTTCCATCCATGGAATCTTTCCACTGCACTAACCGCTCTTTGTAGAAAAAGAGTTCGTCAGATCATTAAACTGTTCTTCAATATAAGAAAATCTGGAAGCCAAAATGGTTATCCACGGCATCACTGCGAAAATCCTGTTCTGGAGCACAGTAACTGCAAACCCCGTAGATCCTCTATTGTTTGTTTGTTTTTATGTGTAAATATAGAAATATGTTTATATACGAATATGTGCAGTAAGTGTATGCTTGTAGCCCAGATTGTCTTGTACTGTTACTACATGACTTCAGTGGATCGCGCGCTTTAGGCTTTCACTCAATTCTACGCTCATGCACGATGTAAAGCAAGTTCACGCAGTTAACAAGGAATCATCGGTGTTCGGTTCATTCACGAACATGATCGTCTCATCTGCGCAAACGCGCTCTCATCCACTAACGTTCAGAAATAGCAGTGCATTAACGCCACACACCTGCTTTCAAAAGCACACCAATGAATAGTCATTGAAATTATCCCCAAAAAAAAAAAATATATATAATCCTGCATATCAAACCCGGGCTTGTAGGAGAAAACAAGCAGCTTTGTATGCTTTGTATGGAGTTGTTTTATTTTTTATTATTTTACAGCAGCTCTACGAGTTGTAAGACAGGCAGAGGTGTTTCAATAGAAGTTCAGACGCCCAGATGTCATATTAATTATTACAATTGGGAATGATTGGAAACTTCCCTCATCCCAGAGTATCATGAAAGAAAGAGGGGCTTACAAAACGCTAATTGGTCTCTGCAAATGCACTGACTGAGCATGGTGGATATGTTTCAGAGAGTCCCAGCCGGAGTGAATAGAACCCACGCTTCTTTTCTAAACGCCCTTGCTGCGCTAAAAGAGGAGAAGAGGGAAAAAGAGAGAGGGAGAGAAAGGAAAGTTGGAGGGGGCTGGGTGATTGAATGCTGGTCTAATCTTGAATGCCTCAGCCAACCAAGAGAAATTACACAATTTATTGCCACCCTCCCTCTCCCCGCCACATGCATCTCGCGCACACACAAAACTGGCGCAGGCAAAGTCATTCAAACAAAGTTGGTTGAAAGCAATGTGCCATTATCGTGCGCTATGAAAGAGGCGAAATTAATCCAGAGATATACTGTAAGTAAATAGAGTGAATAAGGTGTTAGGAGCTTTTTTTAATGCGCGTCCACAAAATAATCCGTTCCGCCTTTCCAGCTGTGATTTCTAATAACGACTGGCCAAATTCATCTTGCCCGGACAAAGATTCCCTATATGGAACAATATTATATGGCTGTAACACGTTAACAGTATAACAGTTGTGACAATTGTTAATTAATTACCAAACTACACCTGAGTCCAATGAAAGCAAAGTGCTTTGAATGAGTTTATTTATTCGTCTTAACCACAGCAGCTGTTACAAATTATTTGCTATATTTGTTAAGAACTGATTTTTTTTTTTTTTTGATAAGATGATGTTCGACAATTTAGGAAATTTAGGAAAGCAGGATTCGTATGTGATTAAATAATGTGGTAAACCGGGGCATGTTTTCACAAACAAACCAAACAAACTTCAAACACTTCAAACTCTCTGTCCTCCAAACTACACCTCTTTTTTCACAAATGCCAAGTTGGGACATGTTGTCACATGTTTTAAATGTTATTAATGACGTTATTTGTTGGCAAACAGTGGTTAGATATTTTATATTTCTATGAATTGTGTTGCGTTTATGAACTTTTTTATTGCTTTTTTTTCTGTTAATTCTGTTTAATGGCAGATTTAGGCTAATTGTGAAAACTAGTCTTCTCTATTCATTATACTGCCATTATCATAAAATTTTAACAATTTCATGATCTTTCGAATATATATATATATATATATATATATATATATATATATACTCGAATCAACGGCTCATATGACTAACACATCTGGCCTTTGCCTTAAAGGGGAGCTTCTTGAAGTTTGTTTACTTCAAGGGGTCTACAACAACGTGGGAAATCTTTCTTTCTTTATTTTTTACAGAAATGTATAAGATAAATACAGGCAGGGCTAAAGTGGGACAGTTCCTGGCCATTTGCATTGTTTTTCAGTGCGATACCAAATTATTTAGCCCCTAAAACTCTTAAACATACTTTATTTGGATCGATGGTTCCATCCATGGAACCTTTCCAATGCACAAACGGCTCTTCATAGTAGAGAAAGGGTCATTAAACTGTTCTGCACAATAAGAAAATGTGGAAGCCACAATGGTTATCCACGGCATTACTGCAAAAATCCTAACAGTTAACACGGAACCAGCGGTGTTCAGTTCATTCACGAATATGAGTGCCCCCGCGCTCTCATCCACTAATGTATAGAAATAGCAGTGCATAAACGCCACGCACCTGCTTTCAAAAGCGCACCAATGAATAGTAATTGAAATGGTCAAACAAAAAAACAACTTTACAATGTAGTTTTAACAGCTAACAAATTGAAATATAATCCTGCATATCAAACCCGGGCTTATAGGAGAAAACAAACGGCTTTGTACGGATTTGTTTTGTTTTTATTATTTTACAGCAGCTCTCCGAGTTGTAAGACAGGCAGAGGTGTTTCAATAGAAGTTCAGACGCCCAGATGTCATATTAATTATTACAATTGGGAATGATTGGAAACTTCCCTCATCCCAGAGTATCATGAAAGAAAGAGGGGCTTACAAAACGCTAATTGGTCTCTGCAAATGCACTGACAGAGCATGGTGGATATGTTTCAGAGAGTCCCAGCCGGAGTGAATAGAACCCACGCTTCTTTTCTAAACGCCCTTGCTGCGCTAAAAGAGGAGAAGAGGGAAAAAGAGAGAGGGAGAGAAAGGAAAGTTGGAGGGGGCTGGGTGATTGAATGCTGGTCTAATCTTGAATGCCTCAGCCAACCAAGAGAAATTACACAATTTATTGCCACCCTCCCTCTCCCCGCCACATGCATCTCGCGCACACACAAAACTGGCGCAGGCAAAGTCATTCAAACAAAGTTGGTTGAAAGCAATGTGCCATTATCGTGCGCTATGAAAGAGGCGAAATTAATCCAGAGATATACTGTAAGTAAATAGAGTGAATAAGGTGTTAGGAGCTTTTTTTAATGCGCGTCCACAAAATAATCCGTTCCGCCTTTCCAGCTGTGATTTCTAATAACGACTGGCCAAATTCATCTTGCCCGGACAAAGATTCCCTATATGGAACAATATTATATGGCTGTAACACGTTAACAGTATAACAGTTGTGACAATTGTTAATTAATTACCAAACTACACCTGAGTCCAATGAAAGCAAAGTGCTTTGAATGAGTTTATTTATTCGTCTTAACCACAGCAGCTGTTACAAATTATTTGCTATATTTGTTAAGAACTGATTTTTTTTTTTTTTTGATAAGATGATGTTCGACAATTTAGGAAGCTTAGTATAGCAGGATTCGTATGTGATTAAATAATGTGGTAAACCGGGGCATGTTTTCACAAACAAACTAGGTTGACTTCAAACACTTCAAACTCTCTGTCCTCCAAACTACACCTCTTTTTTCACAAATGCCAAGTTGGGACATGTTGTCACATGTTTTAAATGTTATTAATGACGTTATTTGTTGGCAAACAGTGGTTAGATATTTTATATTTCTATGAATTGTGTTGCGTTTATGAACTTTTTTATTGCTTTTTTTTCTGTTAATTCTGTTTAATGGCAGATTTAGGCTAATTGTGAAAACTAGTCTTCTCTATTCATTATACTGCCATTATCATAAAATTTTAACAATTTCATGATCTTTCGAATATATATATATATATATATATATATATATAGCCTATATACATATAGCTGCAAATACAGTCAACGTGCATCATTCTTATATTTTGCTCAAGTTTTTTCCGTGTTTTAAAATGATTAATCTCAAGTTTAATTACTCGTTTCTCAAAGCGCCCTAAAGAAAATTCGAAGCGAAGATCACAGGATGCCTTTAATGCAGCTCAAAGTTGAGTGTGTGTGTGTGTGTTGTTCTCCAACAAACACTTGTCATAACCGAAAAACACCTCTAGTCATTCTTTACGAGAAGTTGTTTACTCAGTGGCAGGAGCGGCACGCGCCCGGCGTACGCAACACAAGCGCATCTCAGGGGGCGTGGTCGGGGGGAACTCGCGGCGGGCCGCCGGCGTATTGAAAAGGCCGCGCTGTTTCCATCTCACAACTCAGAACAGGTCGAGAGTCCGGAGCACCTCTGCCCATTGAAGCCACACGTGAACGCCACGAGCAAGACGCACGGCCATTGGGCATTCCAAAGAAAACTTTTGTGCTTTTCCTCCGCGAAATGGACATTACTGCCAAGATGGAAATAAGCGTAAACCAGCAGCAGTTCATGCCACCTGCTTGCTTTTTTGCCTCTCAGAGCATCCAACTCAGTCCGACCGACAGCCAGTGCAGCAACAAGTCCGCGTCGAAGCAGGCGAAGAGGCAGCGCTCATCCTCTCCGGAGCTGCTCCGGTGCAAAAGGAGGCTCAACTTCGCCGGCTTCGGGTACAGCTTGCCACAGCAGCAGCCGCACGCGGTGGCCAGGCGAAACGAGAGAGAACGCAACCGGGTAAAGCTGGTGAACAACGGCTTTGCTACTCTCCGCGAACACGTTCCCAACGGAGCGGCGAACAAGAAGATGAGCAAAGTGGAGACGCTGCGCTCGGCTGTGGAGTACATTCGCGCGCTCCAGCAGCTCTTAGACGAGCATGACGCGGTGAGCGCGGCGTTCCAGTCGGGCGTCCTGTCACCCACCATCTCCCAAAACTACTCTAATGACATGAACTCTATGGCCGGTTCGCCCGTATCCTCTTACTCCTCAGATGAGGGCTCCTACAACCCTCTGAGTCCTGAAGAACAAGAGCTCCTGGACTTTACCAATTGGTTTTGAACGTTCGTGAAAGGTTCGTATGAATTAAATTAATCTTTATTGCCGCTATAATTGTGTTTTCACGATTTTGTTGTTCATGCAAGATACTCACCATGTCCCGTTCTCTTTCTAGGAAATACCTAAAAATCGCAGTACTGCTTGGGAGGAACTCGGATGTCCTCCAAGAACACAAAGCACTGCGTTTGCGCTGCAGTCCGGTTCGGAAAGACTCGAATCCACACCCAGAGATGGCCCATACAAACCGGCAAACCACGGGTCCCGAGTGTCAAAGAGCCAAAGGACTAAAAGAGAAGAGCGGGAGTCCAGTCCTTCCAGCGTATTCGTCCAAGAAATCTATTTTTAAAATGACTTTCCACGACACTGTGGCATATATATATATATATAAAACAACAACAATAAGCAAACGTTGTTCTTTTACCTATGCTAATGTAATCAAAGAAGGTTTGCCCCGATTGACCCCTCTCACAACTCTAATATGCTTCCAACTTGCGGGAGTCCAGTCCTTCCAGCGCATTCGCCCAATAAATCTATTTTTAAAATGACAACAATAAGCAAACGTTGTTCTTTACCTGTGCTAATGTAATCAAAGAAGGCTTGCCCTGATAGACCCCTCTCACAACTCTGATATGCTTCCAACTTGGCGAATTTTATTATATGAAGTTCTATTTGTATAAAACATGTTGTTTTCTGGAATATATTAAGCTATTTTTATATGTAAGAGATTTATAGATGTTTTTGTACACATTCATTTTAATATGTATCTATTTTTGACCTATAGCCTGCCATAAATTGCTCATTACCTCTCGCTTATTCAGACTTCTAGTCTCAAATGCATCGCAGCTGGCAATTCCCTTTACGGATGTGGAGGTTTTAGAGGAGTTTAAGAGTTTAAATTTCAACACCAACGTGTCTTATTTAATAGGAATAATAATTGCAATGGTAACAGGATTCGAGTGATCAAAGGTTATGCAGCTATTGTCCAAACGGAGGTGTTTTGTGTCTCCACACTGCCTGTTCCACTTTGCCTTTACAATGCTGGGTTTTGCATCTCAGAAAATAAGAATATGCCTTATCTCCATATTTTCTACAGTTTAGTCTCATAATAAAAGTTTCTAAAAGAAATATGTTTTCTTGAGTTTGTTTTGTGTATTGCAACCATTTATCTTCATTGTTACTGAAAGCAGTTCTAGAAAAACACAGTCAAGTGTAGACTTTCGTTGCACAATTTATTTTTTTAATGGGCAACAAAAGTGATAAGCCTGCTAACCCTCGGCAGTCTGCCTGTTGTCAGGCAGTAGGAGACGTGACCAGCATACTGGACCGTTTCACAGACTGCGCTCATAATGAATGCCAATTTGGAGAAGACAGCACTTTTGGAAAATAAGCATATTTTTTGCTCACCCTACTCACACTTTTGTGGGTGAGTATGGCAGAGAGAGAGAGAAAGAGAGAGAGAGAGCGTGCAGGACCAAGTAATCAAAGAATTTAAAAACGTAGCATATTTTCTTCTGTTAACGTTAACAATTAAAATAAGATGTTCAAAGGCTGAGAAATATATGTGAAACGCACAGGGCACAATGGTTTTTAATAGAATCTTTAAAAATAAAATATTTAAGAAAATAGTGTTTACAGATATGATGATTTCCTTCATGTTCCTGCCTGCCACACTGACATAGATTTGTGTTGACCTCGAAAAGTATTGAATTTTGGAGGAAAAAAAGGTTATGCTAACCGTCTTTTATCAACATATTTTTCAGACATTTTAGTCTTTTAACAGGGCTTTTTTTCTTTCTTTTTTAAAATCTCTGGACAGTTAGCTACACCACCAACACATTTTCTACTTCTCGCAAAACATATCAAAATAACTTTTAATTCAGAAATTGCAAACATGTTCATAATATAAAAAGTGTATATAAGTAATTTTTTACAGTCTATTGCGTTTTTAATGAAACACTTAAAACGATTTGAAAATGCGAACTTGACTTTACTGACCCAATATACAAACGTATTCAGTAAAAAATACACTTTTTGTTAAGTTACTCATAAATAACTCAAAGTTGCAGAGTTTAAATAACAATCGTGGAGTTTGACAGGTAAAGTGTGTGTGCGCGGGGTGGGCGCGTGCCTGCTGTAATGAACTGAAAGGCTCTGTGCGTGTGTGTGGCGCTCGAGTGGAGTCGGCTGAAGGCGCGTGTGCCTTTCTGACACGCACTCAACAACTGTCCCTTTAAAAACACACAGCGTCAGGAAGCGAGTGCTGTCCACAAGAGGCAGGTGTTGAAGAAAAAGAAACATCCATGAACCTTTTCCATTGCAAAACTTGTTCTTTAGTGGAAAAGGTCGCATTATTTAAATATTCTTCACACTACGAAAAAATTATACTTTTAACTGAAAGGTTCTTTATGGAACCCAAAATGGGTCTTCAGTGGAATTGCTGTGAAAAGCCCCAATATACAGTCAGGTGTCCTAGAATTCCCTGTGACTGTGTGATTCACTGACCAGCGTCTATGACATGTTAAACCACCATCGAAATTGGAAGGGTCTGAACTGTTGACTAGCTTGGAAAATCAATTTTTGCGCTTATCCATCAGACGCTTGACCAAGCACCGTCTTATTGTAAGGTACTAGACCCATTTGTCAGTTACATTTCAATAGCTAGAGCTTCATATTTATCTGGTGTGAAATTAATTTGGGGAAGAGAGGGAGTGCTTTTTTTTTCTCTAAATCCTGGAAAAAATCAATAAATCAGGATCTCTCAGATGGATAAAGCAAATTTTCCACTTGATTTTCTGGCCTCTTGTGTCTTGTTGGTGAAAGATTAGGCTATAGAAAATGTAATATCAAGTTCAGATCTTTGGCTTCCCTCCAGTAAGCTTGTTCCAGGACCCTGTTTAATCAAGAGACATTGCAGAAATCATTACTACACTGAAAAAAAATTTGTGTAGAAACAATTTTCACACAGAAATTGCTAGTAAATTTCATAATTACAAAGAAACAGAAAGTAACACATTAAATTCAATATTCAATTTTTGAAGTATAAAACTGAAATATTGAGACAATTTAATTTCTCTGTTTGTTTTTGAACAAAATCGCCACAGAAAGCAATGTGAATTTCATGCTAAAACTTTTCCATTGACCTATTGTGAATGAGCTTCATGGCCAACCTGAAAATACAAGCCACCAATTCCTTTTACAAACTATTCATGCTCAATCTGAACTGTGTCCAAGGGAACGGTAGCGAGCAATGCAGTGTGTGTAGTTGTGCGCACAGCCTATTTGAGCCTGTCCGCGTGTCCATCAATTTGTGGCAGAATGTTGCCTCCTCATTATGCCACGCCTGAATAGAACAGGAGCGGCAGCATGTAACCCACACTGATTAGTCATCCGGGCCCCTCTGATGTTCTCCCTGTTGAAATTCGTGGGGACTTCTTGTTATCACTCCTCTCCAGCCTCCTTTCATTCTCTTTGAAAGTGCTGCCATCCCTGCCTCTCAACTTCTTCAGCAGACTTTTTAAATCTAAAGACTCAGACTGTTAGACAGCACTCACTTCCTCATGAGTGCCTAGAGAGCTTTTCACGACTGTCCAATGTCTGACAGAGGGCTGCGGCCATTTCTTTAGGCTAAATGAGACCGGTCGTTCTCTGTTTTTTTCGCTACCTCGATCCTTTTCATTTTTCCTCCCTCTCCTCTTTCTTATACAAATGCTAACTTTTGTTATTTCTGAATGTGACGGTGCTCTCTATGCTTGTCAAAGCTCTTCTCTCCCCTTTCCCCTACTGAGTCCTGCAGATTTGGTGAGTGATTATCAGTGATGATAGGATGTTTGATGACCACATTGTGCAAACTTTTCACTCTCTTTATGCCGAATTGCAAATTACATTTAATAAAGGCTCTAGCCTGCATGAAATATGAGCTGCTTGACTTTGGCCCTGTAGAGTGCAATGCAAACAGTGTTTCAGTACCACAGACAGCACTCCTCTCCACTAATGTTCAGCAGTGACACCTCAGTCTTGTGCAGTAAATGAAATCTATGCCCTATTTTTCTGTGAAACAGAGTAAGGTTTTGTCATTTTGACAGACATTCAGTCAGTTAGTCAGTGTTTACCCATTTTTTATGGGTTATTGACATGGATGCAGAAAGAATAATTAATAAGGTACCGTTGTAGTTCATTTTTATTGAGGTTTGATCATTCAACACTTTCAGCAGGAGAAGAATACAGATTAAATGGGACACTTAAACATAATCATTTGTATCAGTATTTGTATATTCTTACTTAGTGGTGATTTTTTCATTGAAAAAGTATACAAAATATGAAAAATTTGAAATGTCTCTACTTCATCAGTTGGCCCACCTTTATTCACTCTATTAAATAATATAATATAATATGATATGATATTATATGATATGATATGATATGATATAATATAAAACAAAATGTATGAAATGAGATGTATAATATTATATTGTATTATAAATATAATATCATTTATATAAATAAAATAATTTGAATTATATATTATTGTATATACGCTACTGTTGAAAAGTATAAAAAATTTAAAGTGAAGAGAGAGTAAAGCATTTAGTCACAAAAGATTTCTGTTTCAAATAAATGCTGGTCCTTTGAACTTTCTATTCATCGAAGAAGTGTTTCCACAAAAGTATTAATCAGTACAAATTCTTGTCAACACTGATAATAATAAAAATATGATTATCTTATATAATAGTAAGAAATGTATCTTGATCACTAAATCAGCATATTACATTGATTTATGAAGGTTTATGTGACACTGAAGACTGGAGTAATGGTTACTGAAAATTCAGCGTTGCCATTGCAGGAATAAATTGCATTTTAAAATATATTAAAATAAAAAATACAAAATTTAAATTGTAATAATATTTCACAATAGTTTTTTACTGTATTTTTGATCAAATAAATGCAGCCTTGGTGAGCAAAATTGCTTTTTTCAAAAACATTTGTCATACATATGCATTATATATCTAATACATGTATTAATTTTAATGTTAATATGGCCTAACTATTAGTGCAAACAGTTGTTGTTGACACCATCACAGGTTGCTGGAGTCATCGAAGGGGTTGGCGATGACTGAGTTATGAATGAGGATGAAGAGAGGCAGATGAGCGAGGAAGTCGAGAAGATCGAGGGAGCGCAAATTGCGAAGTTCCCGTTTCACCGACGCCTCATGCTCAGGTCTGATGCCCCCTGCCTTGAGCTCCACTAGGAGTTGCTCTGCCCCAATGCAGCCCTCTGGCACCACAGCACTCCCTGTTTGGGCCTCAAGCAAGAACAGGAACAACTGCTGTAGAACAAGCACACATACTCAGGTTAGTACCAATGACTGTAATATCCATTCTTGTGACACTTTATTACATTAGCCAGTTCAATATGTACTGTATGTATATATATATATATATATATATATATACACAC